TTTTTTTAAAAGACGGACTTTGCCCAGGCTGGAGGGCAATGGTGTGGTCTCTGCTCACTGCAACCTCCGCCTCCCGGGTTCAAGAGATTCTCCTGCCTCAGCTTCCCAAGTAGCCGAGATTACAGGCATGTGCCACTACACCTGGCTAATTTTGTAGTTTTAGTAGAGACAGGGTTTCTCCATGTTAGTCAGGCTGGTCTCCAACTCCTGACCTCAGGTGATCCACCTGCTTTAGCCTTCCAAAGTGCTGGGATTACAGAAGTGGGTCGCCACACCCAGCCTAAAGTCAGCTTTTAAATTAGGGTTTAAATTTGCTTTTGCAGCTGCATGTTTTTAAAAATTTGCTTGAGGCCAGCAGGTTGATGCTGCAATAAGCTATGATTGCACCGTGCACTCCAGCCTGGGTGACAGAGTGAAACCCTGTCTCTGGAAAAAGCAAAAAACTTTCTAAAATAGGTGAACATTTTTCTGCCCTTAGAAAATATAGAATAGTGAGTACAATTGGACCCTCAAGAGTAAATACCAGAGACAGCGATGCAGTTAGTCTGGTAGAAAATAATAGTACCTGCTGCAAAGGGTTGTTGTTACCAAGTAAGTGAAATGGTGTAGTGGTTAGCACAGTGTCTAACACATAAGCACTCCAGTGTTAGCTTTAACAAAAATTACATGCGTGGGATGTGTATTGATTTGGAGCTATAAATACCAGGACTTTTTTTTTTTTTTTTTTTTTTAAAAAGAGACAGAGAGTCTTGATATGTTGTCCAGGCTGTTCTCAAACTGCTGGCCTCAAGCGATCCTCCCACCTTAACCTCCCAAAGTGTTGGGATTGCAAGTGTGAACCACTGTGCCTGGCCAACACCAGGACATTTTAAAGGTTGCTTTTTTTTTTTTTTTTGACATGCTCTAGTCATTTGTTTATTACATTTTTTTCGATAACGAAATATTTTAAGCACCACAACAACTATGTGAAATAAAATAATAATGAGACCCTGTTCATTACTCAGTTGTCAGATTTTAACATTATCTTCAGAATTTTTTTTAAGGCAATAACACCTGAAGTTACACTAAAGCCTCCTGTGAAATCTTCCCTGATTCCACTTTCCTCCCTATCTTTGTGAATTAATCATCTTATTTTCTCATATGTATGTATGTAGTATTTTGCATGTTCATATAAATATGCTCATACATTTTGATTCAATATGACTGTTGAGATTTATTGATGTTATTAGAAGTATGCTAGTAGCTCTACTTCATTTGTTTCCAATTCATTTATATTGATTCATATGCATGTATCTTATTTTTCTATTTTGTTAATGCACATTTAGGTTATTTCCAGTTTTTCACCATTATATACAGTGTCATAATTAACATTTAAAGAATGTCTTTTTGAGCACATATGTTTTTCTGTGGGATAGTGTTTTTCAAGTCTTTTTGTTTAGTAGGCACAGTTAGAAATGTACTTTGCTGGGGAGTGGGGGGAGTGGCTCATGTCTGTGATCCCAGCACTTTGGGAGGTCAGGGCAGGCAGATCACCTGAGGTCAGGAGTTTGAGACCAGCCTGGCTGACATGGTGAAACGCTGTCTCTACTAAAAATAAAAATTAGCTGGGTATGGTGGCAGGCGCCTGGAATCCCAGCTACTCGGGAGGCCGAGGCAGGAGAATTGCTTGAAACCAGGAGGCGAAGGTGGCAGTGAGCCGAGATTGTGCCATTGCACTCCAGCCTGTGCAACAAAAGTAAAACCTGTCTCAAAAAATTTTTAAAAAGTCTTTACATTGAGACTCAACATATGTATATGCGTGTATATTTGCATATTATTCATATATATGCATATTTACATGTAATGTAAATTACAGTTCTATAAAATACCCTGAAAAAATAATTACCCATACAATGTGAGAGATGCATCCTTGAGATGTAAATAAATATCCCTCATTAAAAAAAAAATGCTGATCAGGAACATATTTGACAAATAATAGTCTAATGTATGTAACCTGAAGCAGAATTCCTGATATTGATGGTGCTCATTTTCAGGTTGGCGAGAGATTAAAAAAATCACTCTTCAAAGTGGTTTTACTAAACTCACATTCCCATCAGCAACATACCAGAGTTCCTGTTTATTCATATCCACACCAACATTTGTCCAGCTTTCTAATATTTTGCCTATCTGATGGATGTGAAATGGTATCCCAATATTTTCTCAGTCTGTTTCCTAGTGAAATATTTTTGAGTGCCTTCTTTCCATCACACCCTTTGCAAAGCAGTAAGGATGCTAACAAGAGAAATGAGATATGGCTTTCCTATTCTAGGGAGCTTGTATTGTAGGAGGGTGAGAGAGGAACTTTGCCTACCAGTGAGTAGCAAAGGTACACACAGAGGGGTGCAGTGTGCAGTTGGCCTGGGGAAAAGGCGCTGTTCCAAGAGATGAAGCTTGACTTTGGTCTTGAAAGGTGAGTAGGCATTTTCAGAGAGCTGTGGAGTTGAGGGGCATTCTGGGTGGAGGGGAGGCTAAGGCATAGAGCTGTAAACCACATCATTCAAGGAACTTAGTGAGTGTTAATGACTGTGTAGAGTCTCAGGATTGGTGAGGCCAAGGGATAAGCAGAGGAGAGCCTGCAGACTTGGAGGCAGGTGCAGTTGTATCCTGCTGGTACTCAGAGTTGTTGAAGGTTTTAAGTAGGGTGTTAACAGGAGTTTGGTTTTGTTTTTACAAGTCTAGGAATGGATTCTGGTGTTAAAACAAGCTTGATGGTCAGTCAAGTTTTGTCTTAATTTCAGTTTCAAACTCATTAGCTTGACAGTTTACTATTGTCTTTTTGAAACAGGTAGGTAATAGAAGTTGTTATATTTCCTCTGAACTAGAGTTGGTCATTTTCTACTCTTTCCTAGCATATGGCACATTTCCTTTCATCCATGTGCCTTGTTTTTTGGTGTGTTTTTTCTTGGTTTGTTTTTGTTTTTGAGACAAGGTCTTGCTCTGTCACCCAGGCTTGAGTGCAGTGGCATAATCATAGCTCACTGCAGCCTCTTAGGTTCAAGTGTTCCTTCTACCTCAGCCTCCCCAGTAGTTGGGACTATAGGTGTGTGCCACCACACCTGACTAAATTTTATGTTTTTTGCAGAGATGGGGTTTTACCATGTTGCCCAGGCTGATCTCAAATTCCTGAGCTCAAGTGCTCTACCCACCTCCGCCTCCCAAAGTGCTGGGATTATAGGCAGGAGCCACAGTGCACAGCCCTCTTTATTGTCTTTCTTACATGTTAAACATACACATAGAGAAAGGGTCTACATTGCCCAGGCTGGTTGTGAGCTCCTGACCTCAAGTGTCCAGCCTGTGCTCCTTTGTTTGTTTATTTGTTTGTTTTTTAAAAGTTTTTAAACTTTTTATTTGCATATTTAAATAATTGTGCATTCCAATAACTAAAATCATTTGAACAACAACAAAAAAATATGGCACTCTGATTAAACTGCATTACAGCCTGCAGGACACCTTGGGCCAGCTTGGTTTTACTCTAGATTTCACTGTCGTCTCACCCCACTTCTCCTTCACCAACAGGCACGTTCTTTCCTTCTCTTCCAACCAGAGAGACAGAAGGGAGAAGCAGGCACGGCCTTCATTGTCAGTAGTTCTTTGATGTGAAAGGGGCAGCACGGTTATTTAAACTTGATCCAACCTCTTTGCATCTTACAAAGTTAAACAGCTAAAAGAAGTGAAATAAGAAGGCAATGCTTGTGGAATGTACGGTGTATATTGGCGGTGCATGCCTCATTACAGTTCGCCTGCTTCTCCTGTTCATTCCTTTCTTTGGAAGGCAGTGGATTTTTTTCTCTTGGGTTTCTGTCTTCTTCAGTTTTGACTTATCAGATTTCTCGATCTCAGCTCTATCGGGTTTGTCAGATGTAATTGCAGAGGAAGAGCGGAGCAAGGTGTGCGAGCAAATGAAGTCTGCTCTGTGCAGTGGCCACCATTGAGTTGTCGCTCCTTAGTTTTAAGTGGGACAACAAATGGTCTTCACAGGTGTTTTTTATTGTCAACTATGGATAGGTATAGCTTTGTACCGGTTGGTAGTTTTAAGAATTTGGATTTGGGGGCTGGATGCTTGAGCCTGGCCAACATGGCAAAACCCTGTCCCTGCTATTAATAAAAATACAAAAATTAGCTGGGCGTGGTGGCACATGCCTGTAATCCCAGCTACTTGGGAGGTTGAGCATGAGAATCATTAGAATCCAGGAGGCAGAGGTTGCAGTGAGTCTTGATCTTGCTGCTGCCAGTTCCTTGGAAGAGACCCAGT